AAGCATTTCTTTTTTGACATTTTTAAATGCGACTTTAAGCTTTTTCACTTGGCAATGGATTTTGATTTGGATGCTGTATCTGCCAAAAACAAAAAAATAAGTTAAAAGGATTGACAAGGAACACACGTTTCTATTTTGTCAAAATGAAACAATTCAGTCGACTCCAAGAGGTTTTTAGACTTTTTAAGTTGCTGAAGAGTTACAGTTTTGCTGTATTCTGGAATATTGGAATACTTTTTCCAGATATGTGATGCAAAGCAGTACTACACAGTGGGTGTGTCTACATGTGCATTTATGCCAGCTTAAATTTACTGCACAGTAAATTACTGCACAGTAAACAGGAATAAGCCAGCTTCTACATGTGCAGGCATCAAAGCGCATTAACGCTGTGTGTGGACTGACTTGGGACTAAAATTAGAGCCAAGTCAGTCCACACATACAGAGTTACTGCGCAGTAAGGCATCTACATGTGCGTTACTGCACAGTAACTAATCAGATGATGAAGGTATCAAATTTATGCTCAAGTCAGCATAAGTCACCATATTTACTGCACAATATGCACATGCACATGTAGACATATGCCGGTACTGCACAATAATTTTGGTTACTGCGCAGTAGATGCGCACATGTAGACGTGCCCAGTGAATCCACACTTGAGTCCAGGGTACAGCTTTACCTCAAACCACATGTAGTAACTTTAGTAAGCAGGAAGGTTACTATGCGATATGGGTTGTGGGTTTGCCTCCCTTCCAGGTTTCATCCCTGGAGTAGTAGCTGGCCCACTGCAAACTGGTTCTTTGTCTTCTAGTGGCCAAACATAGTCATAGGGATGAATGTGGGAACCCGCTTGGAAGAGGTAGTTGTGTGTCTACTTTAGTGGTTCTCACCCTTTTTAGATTCAAGGCTGCCTTAATTAGACTCAGCCCCCTTGGGAAAATGCCAGCTCTTACTTGTCACTTGTTTTCTTGACTGCAAAAAATTAACAGAGTGATTTTTCTATGGCTTTGACCCACCAGATTCCTATTTGAAATCTCTGAGTTTATCTTGTAAATCATAAAAAGCATGGAGAAGTTGGGCTGGAAGGGACCTCCAGAGGTCATCTAGTCCAACCTCCTGCCTGAAGCAGGATCAGCCCTATCAAAACCAATTTAAACAAATCCATAATCTAACCTCTTAGTAAAATTACCATCAGCCCTTGACTCAACAGAAGGCAGCACCTAAACCTGCCACAGGTGAAGCTGGGGGACCATGGCAGCCAATATCTTTCTGGACTTTAGGAAGGCCTTTGATACTGTCTCTCACCCCATTCTCATAAAAAAATTAGGAGATTGTGGCGTCGATGCCTGCACAACCAAATGGGTCGCCAGTTGGCTGGAGGGCCACACCCAGAGAGTGGTAGTGGATGGGTCATTTTCAGCTTGAGGGAATGTGGACAGTGGGGTCCCCCAGAGCTCGGTCCTTGGGTCCGCACTGTTCAACATCTTCAACAGTGACTTGGCTGGGGGTGTGAAAAGCACCTGTTCAAATGCATAGATGACACTAAGATGTGGGGGAACGTGGGCACGCTAGAAGGGAGGAATAGGCTGCAATCGGACCTAGACAGGTTACAGGGGTGGGCGGACGAGAACAGGATGAGATTCAGCACAGACAAGTGCAAGGTGCTGCACCTGGGGAGGAACAACCGGCACCATACCTACAGGCTGGGGAACTCCCTTCTCGTCAGGGCAGAAGCGGAAAAGGATCTTGGAGTCATCATTGATGCCAAGATGAACATGGGCCGGCAGTGTGGGGACACGGTCAGGAAGGCCAACCGCACCTTGTCGTGCATCCACAGATGCATCTCGAGCAGGGCCAGGGAGGTGATCCTCCCCCTCTATGCGGCACTGGTCAGGCCGCAGCTGGAGTACTGCGTCCAGTTCTGGGCGCCACAGTTCAGGAGGGATGTGGACAACATGGAGAGGGTCCAGAGGAGGCCACTTGCATGGTCTGGGGGCAGCAGGGCAGGCCCTACGAGGAGAGGCGATGGGGCCTCCACAAGAGAAGGCTGAGGGGGGATCTAGTGGCCTGCTACAAATTAGTCAGGGGGGATCAGCAGGCATTGGGGGAGTCCCTGTTCCCCCGAGCACTCCCAGGAGTGACCAGGAAAAACGGTCACAAACTGGCAGAGGGTAGATTCAGGCTAGATATCAGGAGGCGCGACTTCACAGTCAGGGCGGCTAGGATCTGGGACCAACTTCGAAGCCAAGTGGTGCTGGCTCCTACCCTGGGGGGCTTCAGAAGGAGGCTGGCTGTACATCTTGCTGGGGTCGTTTGACTCCAGCATCCTTTCCTGCCATGGCAGGGGGTTGGACTTGATGATCTTCTCAGGTCCCTTGCGACCCGACCAACTATGAAACTATGAAACGTCCTGCTTCTCTAAAAGGTTGTTAATATATACTAGAGAGATCCCAGGTAGAGGGTCATGTGCCCCGCTACAGAGGAAGGCAAAAATCTGCACAGTCTGTATCAATCTGGCTAGTAAAAATCCTTCCTGACCCCAACTGTGGCATCGGTCTGACCCCTAGTGGAGGGTCAAGACCCTCTAGCCAGAAACCTCCAGCTTGAAATCCCAGGAGCTGCATTGGCACACCCACCGAAGTGTGCTAGCATTTTGTGGCACCCTTGAAAGGATTTCAAGGCACCCCAGGTGCTGCAGCACCCTAATGGAAAATGCTGCTTTACCTTTTCTGGTGGAGTAAATAATATGCAATGGGGTAAGTTAAATATGCAATGGGGTAAGTTGCAGGATAGTAACCAGCTTTATGTCCACACCCCATGGGTGCAAGGAACAAGGGAGAGAGGGAAAGAAGGAGAAAATCGAGTTACTTTAAGCTTCCATGTTTTATTATATAAATCTACAAAAGGCTTTGCTACAATAGCAAACAATGTGGCACTGTTCTATTAACAGGATCCAGTGGCTGACACAATTTGTGTGATTTAGTATCTCCAACATGACACGCGAGGAATGAATGGTCTGGTGCCGTCAGAACTCGGTCAGGTTATTTCAACGTACAAAGACCTTTGGCTTCAAACCCGACGCAATGAGGGCAGTGCCCTACAATGAATCCACAAGTCCTTGTTTCGCACAAGAGTGTGTGAATTAATAAGATCTATCATAAAAAATGAAAACTATAAAGCAGCTTTCTCAGAATCAAATGTAAAATTATCTAAGTTGTTTTTTTTTTTTGTTTTTTTTTACAGTGGTTAAAATCTATCTAGGTTTCACAGACACAACACGCACTAATCCAAACACACAACTCTGCCCCAGGAGAGAAAGACCACCAGTCCTTTGAAGAAGGACTGATGATAATAAGCCAGGGTGCTACTGGGAAAGCTCCATTCTCCTAGAGCAATCAGTGAAATGAAACCAGTTTGCACACTCCAGACGGCCAGCTGAAAATAAAATCCCAGGGCCAGAGGGTTGCATGGTTTGGTCAGCAAAATTTAGATCCCAAAGCAAGAGCCAATTTATGGGAACAGTCAGTGCTGACTTGGATGTTCGAGATCCCTTCAGCACTGGAAAACCAAGAGGCGTTTTACCCCTAGGGCAATACCTTCGTAGCTGTGGTTTTCCACATCTACTCATCCCTGGCATCATGGCTGACCATCTGTTGGACCGTGCATGAGATCTCATCATTTCAAAGCTTAATTCAAATATAACACCACGCTGCAGAATTTGATTGCATGGATAGCTTTTTCAACACGCACACACACACATGCACGTACCCACCACACAGGCAGGTGAGTCTGGAAGAAGTATGAACCAACCTGCCCTTTCACCCCACGCATGAACCAAAGCTTGATTTCCCCCCAAAAATAAAAATAAATAAAAAGTTTGGTTACTTTAGCTCACACCAGCATGTGTCACAAGTCTTTGAACTTCCTGATTCTGGATGGAAATAGCACAAGACATCCAGTTCTTGCAGTAATTCTGGCCCATGCAGACACAGGAAGTGTTTGCTATCTCACGACAGCGTCTGATCTTGCGAGATGCCTGGCGCCGGTAGTTCAGAAAAGCATCTGGTCTCCCGGATGCTTCTCTGACCCGCCAAAGCGACTGAGGTTTGACCACTGCTACCCGTGTGAAACAAAGTTCCTGCAGTCAGGTAAAATACGGTTGAGTATTAGCAGCGAGGAGGGTTCATGGCCTACTTTGGGTCAGTCACTTTAGGCAAGCCAAGTCAGGACCGGATTTTAGTTCGCAGTCAAGGGTTGACGTGAGTCCCCATCAGGTGCGGTCGCAGCTAACCCAGCAGGGGCACGTTGAGTTGCCTCCAAACACCCGAACAACGTGGAGTTGTCTCCGTTGAGATGCCCCTGGCTGTCTCCAAATGCCAAACGCTGGCCTGTTCTTGCAAGTTGTCTTTTGCCTTTTTGGGCCTCCTGAGCTTGAGGTTGGGCCATCGGATGAAGTCTGTCTTCATTCCTGTCTCTGCATCCCTGCATGGCTGATCTCATCACATCACCTCTTTCTTTGTTGCCAGGCTCGCCTGGCTCTCTCTGAACACCGAGCTCTCCCCAGTGCGTTTCGGTGCCAGCTGGCCCTTTCCTGCAGAAGCAGCAACTCCCAGCTGAACAGATGGAGGCTCGGCAGCTACACCAGGCATCCCTGCAAACAAAAACCGTGATGGGGATGAGACATAGCAAGCAGAGGGTGGGAGATGTATCAGGGGCTGGTAAGGGGTGAGATTTGCAGTGCTAAGCCAAGGTGGGGCCTGGGATGGTGGTTAGCGCAAGGATAAATATTGGGTGCTCTATCAGGAGGGCAAGGTGTAATGCCTGCTTCCTCACCCGGGATTCACCTCCTTTAGGGGGTTGTGTGGGGCTTCAGGGAGTGCTCAGCACGGCCCAGGGGGAATTTAGGATCTCTTTGGGAGGCTGAGAAAGGCTTGTAAGAGAGCTAATTACCTGTACAGAGGATCTCCTCTGAGGCTTCGCATCAGGCACACAGCGGCTTTGAATTCGGACATCCATTCCCCTGCCCTTTTCCAGGCTTTTTCCTTCGTGATGTCTCATCAGAGATGGGTCTGGGGGAGTCACTGCAACAAAGGGAGGAGAGACATGAGGCGGGTTTGCCTGAGGACTAGAGAACATCTTGCATTTACACTGCATCTTCCTTCCCCGAGCATCCCCGGTTGCCCATGGAAACCACTCTGCATACCGGGAAGTAGGCACAGCCAAGTAAACAAGCATCCCAGCAGCCTGGGAAGATCCCTTTCTGCCAGCCTCAGTGGTCAGGTGGCCACATCTGGGATTTGCCTTCAAGCCTTGTGGTCCATGGGCAAGCCTTTTAGCTGCATCCATTAAAGCAGGGACCACCCTATGGATGTAGCCCTCCAAGTTGTATATAGCCCAGCACTGGAAATTATCCTGTGGTCTAATATAGCATAGGGTTGGGAGACACACCTGATTGTAATATCCCCTTAAACTTCCCTTTTCTCTATCTGCCCCGCATTGCTCCACTGATCTGCCATACCCCACTATCCCCCTCACTGATGTTTATGCTCTTCAGTGGGCGCATTTACTGTGCAGTATCCAAAATTACTCCACAGTACAGGCACGCGTCTACACATGCACACCTGTACTGCACAGTAAATATGGTGACTTATGCCGACTTGCGCGTAAATTGGATAACTGCATCATGCAGGTATCCAGTTTACACCCGATGAGTTACTGTGCAGCAGCACACACGTAGATGCCTTTCTGTGCAGTAACACTGTGGACTGACTTGGGACTAACTTTAGTCTAGTTTAACTAGTCTAGTCTAACATTTTAGTCCCAAATCAATCCACACACAGAGTCAATGCATTTCAATGCCCGCATGTGTGGACACCGGTCTATTCCCGCTTACTGCGCACTAACTTACTGCGCAGTAAATTTAAGCCGGCCTAAATGCATGTGTACACATGCCCAGTAATGGGTTAAAGTCAGTCCTGGTATAGCTTTACCATGGGATCCCCCTTTACAAAGCTGATAAGTTTGCCCACACCAGGGAGTGGAAAGCCAGGAAGCTGTCTTACCTTTAGTCTCTAGGAATCCCACGAAGAGCTTTCAAAGCCACCTATGCCATGGTTTGCTGCTGCTGCTGCTGCTGCTGCTGCTGATTTCCCAGGGAAGTTTCAGCTACTCCCTCTTGCAGTTGTTTCTGCCTGTTGCTTCTGATGATGGATGCAGTGTTGTTGGTGCGGGATGCACTTGCTATTGGAGACTCCATTTGAGCTTTCTAAGCGTGCATGGCTGGGCTTTCTGTGTTGAAACAAGAAGCTGGAAGGTCCCAACTGCCCAGCCGTGCCTCAAAGTCCCGTCCTTATGTATCAGTCATGGTGCACACATCCTTATTGTTAGCTGGTCATGTAGAAAAGCAATGCAGAGCCCCATGTCAGCTCTGTGAGACTGCAGGGGCCATTGTAGGAAGCCCATTGGCTTTCACGTACAGTCCAGCCATCGAGTTCTCCAGCCTGAGGACACCTGACTTTTGGAAAGCCACTTGTAGCATCGAGGTGTCCTCTTTGCACGAAGCCAGGTGGAGGCAGCTCCAGGACACATGCCACCTCCTCACTTGCTTTCATGTGGCAAAAGCTCAGAGAAGCTGGTTGCTGAAGTCCTGCTGTGTTAGCATCTGAGTCTCAGTGGACTTGCTTTGCTGCTCGGAGGGGTGGGGGATATTAGCTCTGAGTTCACGGTGTGTTTGTTTGATTTTTTTCAAAATGTAGGAATTAACCCCTGTACAATGCTAGCTTCCTCACCGATCATCCGATGCTGGAAGATATCTAGCCCGAGCCCTACACAACCCGAGATGGAAGAAGTCCAGTAATATTTCCTATCCGAGTGCTGTGGACCCTCGCTCCCCAGGTTACCAGCAGACATGGGAAGAAATCTCCCTTGTTGCTGCCATGGCCTGGGTGGATGAGGTTTCTATGGGGGAAGCTGGGAGGGAAGAAAAACGAGAGCAGGGCCTGGGTGGAAAAAGGGACGAGGTTTCCATCTGCTGACATTTTAGGCTCCCCACTGAAGAAATTCAAGCTTCTAAAAAGTTTTCTCTTTAATCCAGCAGAGGTTGAGGAGGAAGCAGAAACCTGCGGCTTCCTCTCACACTGGACAAAACCCTCACTTGTAAATCAGAAATGTTAAAAAAAAGGGAGCTTGCCCTATAAAAGGAGCAGAACAAGTCCTCAGAGAAGGGAAGAGAGAGGAAGGAGGAGAGGTCCTGACTGGCGGGTGAGAAGGGACCCTTGGGCAGTAGCGGAAAGCCTCTGGTTTGGGATGGCTGTCTCTGCCATTGGGACTCGTCTCTAGTATCACGAAAGGGTCCTCCCAGAAGTGGTTAAAGTAATACCCTCAGCCTCGCACCACCCCGTCGCGTGGCTCGGGCAAAGTGGGCAGCCGCATTTGCAAGCGGCCCAACTTCAAGCAAAGTTTCATCCCTTTGCTGCGGGCCGTTGGGCTGAGTATATGCCCTCTGACTGGTCGCAGCTAGATCGCCTCGCTAAGGAGAAGCTTCCTCAATGCGCCCCTTTCCCACTGTTGTCTAAGGCAAGCCGCGGCTTTCCTCTACTCATAATATAGTGGCCGGGGGGCTGGGGGCCTCGGGTTGTGTCCCGCTGCTGGCATTGGGGCTGGCTGTGGTGGAGGGGGTCAGGCTGTCCACCAAGTCCCCGGTGCGAGCCTCGGGGGCTCGCTGCGGGCTGGGCTCCTCTGAATTGTCTAGGCTGCCTTGTACTTCCTTCCCCTTCTGGATCAGCTGCTCTAAGGTCTTGGGCAAGGGGTAACTCAGGAAGCGCTTGAGTTTGGGCTGCAGGGTGCCTACCACATACTGAATGATCTGCTCCTCGTCGGCATCGATGTAGAGGGTCTGGTACAAGTCTCTCTTACGCCACAGGAACTGGTCCAGGGGCTCCCCGTCTTTCTGGGGCAGGTCCAGTTCCCGTTTGATGGCGTCCCTGGTCAGGGTCCCCTCACTGTACTGCAAAAACTCTTTCTTGAACTCCACCCAGTTCTTGACTGTGTCCTGCTTGTATTCCCACCACTTTTTAGCCGGGCCGTTCATGTGGTTCTGGATCTGGGAGAGCCAGTACTCCTCGGTCCCACCCACCTGCTTCAGGTACTCCTCCAAGTGGCAGAGGAACTCCCTGGGGTCCTCGAAGACCTGGGTCTCCACTGGAGAGGCCGGAGCATCCTCCGGGGATGTGACCCATTGGTAGGAGTCGTGGGGCTGGGGGATACTGGGCAACTCTCCAGGAGAAGGAGTCAGTGCATACATCTGGCTCATGTCCAGGGCATAATCATAGATCTCCCCTTCACTGGGCCTGATCTCTGGGCCACCCACCCCGACAGACACGGTCTGCCTGGGGGTGTCCGAGGGGCAGTATTTGCTCCCCATGGACTCCAGCCGGTCTGCCCATCGCTCTAGGCGGAAAAATACCTCCTTCCAGACATTCATCTCCCGCTTAACCCACCTTTCCAAGTGAGCAATGGTCTCCTGGCACCGGGCCAGGCAGGCCTTGATGGACTTCTTCCACCTCTGGTTGTCAGTGGGGACGTGGTCCTCCAAGTTGTTCTCTAACTTCCCCACCGATTTCTGCAAGCCTTTCAGCTCCCGCTCCACCTGCTTGGACACCTCCGACAGGAGGTGCCGGTGGGTCCTCCTGACGTGCTCCAGCATCTCTGTCCTACACTTGCCTATCTGCAGGATCACGTTCGGCTTATTGGCCACGCCGCGGTGCCCCTGGTAGGTGTGGACGCCCGCGGTGGTGACGCTGTCCAGCTGCATGGTGCCTCTTGCCTGAGTGCTCTCCGCCAAGCGGCAACAAGCAGCGACTTGTTCGGACGTTTGAGTCGCCTTCGAATCGAGCGGCTTCCCCAACCACCCGGCTTTTTAGCCCCTCTGCTACTAGACACAGGCCGCCCGCGATGCCCACCCTGGGATGCACAAACACAACCGAATCAGATATCACCCCAGCGAAAGCCGTCCGGTTCCCTCCGTAGCCAGCGAGCGGAGTAAGCAAAGTCACTGCCTTAACTGCACGTCCAGGGAAAAAAAGCAGAGTTGTCCAGCCCCGTAGCCCTCTCCGCCGTGCAGGCTTGCGATGTGGCTCTGGACGCAGAGCTGCAAGCTGCTGCTCGAAGCTCCGGTTCTCTCTCCCTCGCTTTGCAGAGAAACTTCAGAGAACAAGTGCCTGGCTAGAGATGCAAAGAGCTCCTTTCCTCCCCTGCCTGAACTGCCACTCGCTCAGGCTTTTGGTGGTACTTATACCAGAGGCAGCTCAACATGTGGGTGGTGCCCGGCCTCTTCCTTCTCTCCCTGCTCGGCGCTCATTGGAAGAGAGCGAGCACAGTGTCTGTGGCAACCCAAATCTTGGCAGCCTCCCCTCGTTTCCCGCCCCCTCGCGCACACCCCCGGACTCGATGCGAGAAGCACTTTAAAGGTTCTGGAGACAGTTGGATGGATGGATGAGTAATGCACCTTCCGCCTTGCACCGCGCCGAAAGCACTTATTCATTCCACAACTATTTACTCAGCAAGGTCATCATTAACATGCTTCCCTTTGCACAGCTCACAGAGGGGGAGATGTGTATGAATTCAGTGTGTCACACTGAGTCGGCCGCCCACCGGCCCCCTCACGCCCACCCACACTCATACACACACACACACACACACGCTGCAAATGCTCCCAAATTGTTGCAATTCAGCAGGAAAAGGGACAGGGGAGAAGGGGAACAGCGGGCAGAGCCCCCTTGATTCAAACAAAAGGCACTTTGGGGCTTGCTGAAGCTTTGGGAGGTGCTAATTGATTTAAAATTATACTGGGGCCTAGGATTGATTTGCTCGGGGACTTTGTGGTGGGGTGGCAGGATCGGGGGGGTTAAGAGCGATAGGGGCCTTGTGGATCTCAGCCAGGTTTTTCCATCAGATTAAACCCACCCATCCAAAGCTGGTTAGTCTCTAAGCTTGAATCAGATGCTTAATCAATCAGCCAACCCACAGGCGCCGATGAAGCTATAGTTGTTCTTGGCTCCTGACGAGGCAGGAAAAGCCAACCATAAAAGGAGACCGGGGTTTATATAAGCCACGGATACAGGATTCCCTGCCAGAGAGAGTTCCCCTCCGGAAACCCCGTCATATGGACACCATGCAGGGGTGCCTCTCCTTGCACATTACGGGGAGGGGGTGGCCTGGAGGGCTTACTCGGAGCATGAGACAATGCTGATCTCTAGCACGCGCGTGTGTCGCCTTTGCTCCGTGGCAGCCTGCCAGCTGTGCCCGGGACGTGTCCGCATTAGGACGCTTGCCAAACCCCTCCACAGGTGGGGTAGGGAGAGCAGGAGTCCCAGTGGGGACGCAGCAAATGCCTGCCAATGCCCTCATGCAGAGGATGCCCACAGGACCCGGTGGGGAAAAGGCAGGTGGTTTTTGCTTCTCTGTATACAGCTGATTTCAAGGCACGCAGCTCCCAGCCGGTGCCTGTATCCCCTTCCCTGGGGTCACCTTGAGATGCAAAGAGGGGGGGAGCAGAAGTGCCTCCATCCCGCTGCCCCTGACCATTGCTACTCTCCCCCACTTCCTCTTTGCTTCTCCTGCCCTGTGACTCGTAGCCCGAGGGTCTGCACCTGCCTGCAAGGGTTTCAAGGAAGCTAAGCGAAGGAGGTCCCTGAGGTCATCTGGCTGGTCCTTTAAGGTTGGCACAGTATCCACCCTGAAAGGACAGTTTCGGGGTCTGTCTCTAGCCCTGCCTGAAAAGTCCTGAGCAAAAGCAGCAGAGCATGGGCCCGTTTCTAGACCCGCGGCTTTGCACGCACGGTTCCCAGGCCTGCGCACGTGCATCAGTGGCACGGCTTGCACAAGTGACGTAACAGAGAGCACCATTACACGCATCGCTGGAGACCTGGCACCGCGCACACGCACACACACACATGCCATGAGCCGTATGCCTCCCTCCCACGTACCACCGAGCCCTGGAGTCCAACTGGGGCTCACGTGTCTCACCCTGTCCCCCCCCAAATCCCCTTCCTGGCACCCAGCTAGATCCGAAGGGCACCAGGATTGAGTTTATCTAATTTTAGCTCCATGTTCTGCTGGTTTTGTCCTAAGCTGTTTGATTTCCTTTGGGGAGGAAGGGGGGGGGGGGAG